GCACGCAGGGTGGAAGTGGGCATCTCTGGTGGTGGAGTGGATGGTTCATTTGTCTTTACACGACCCGAGGACTAATTATCTAGGCTTCTGTCCGCGACACGGTGCACATTTCTCTCCAAAGTGAACGTACAGACTATCACATGCCACCGGAAGCTGTAAACTTGACAAAAATGTAGTTAGCGGGGTAGCTAGAGATAATTGTCAATCGGCTAGTTACTTCGGCTAAAGCGCTATTAGCTTCCCTGCTGCCACTGACATCATTCCGTGCGATGACGGCATTGACAAGTCTGCGTAACTTTTCATCTTCTGGACATCAGACCGATCGAAGGAAATAATATGGATAGTGAACGCAGTAATTGCAGGCCTCAAGTTGGAAACAATAGCCAGCTAACCCAGCTAGCAAAGCTGTCGTAGCTGCTAAGCTTGCTAAAGCTGCGAGGAGCAGCACTGATAAGGTATGTTGTTGAATCCTCCTGCCTATGGTCACTTCGTTTGGTCCTGTTTTGCACGTGATCCGGAAAAGAAATCTATCAAGGGATATTTCTCCACGAGCGAGCAAAACAAACTTTTGTTTACTTGCTTTGGCAAGACGTTAGCTAGCTAGCTGCTGCTAACTTGAAGCTAATGAGCCAATAATTAAGGGGAAAAAGGTAGTCTGCAAAGTTTCAGGAGTTGGGTAAAGTAGCTACATTTAGTTTGAACTCGATCACTTGTGCTCATCCTGTTCGTATTAGTATAACCTCTATATGTCAACAAATTATTTTTAGCTAATCTTAATATTTGCTGTGATTTTATTTGAACTTGGAGAATTGTGTTTCACAATACTTAGATAAGGGATTAAGCCGGTATTTTCTGGTCGTCCTGACATAATCTTATCAATTGCAGGGACACAAGTTATGGTGATTTATTCTGTGAAGTTAGCCTACTTAGATCAGGCTAACAGCCTGGCTTTGTTAATCCTGGAGTGTGTTATGAGGACTCACCCTGATCAGAAATGTTTATAGCACACGTGTTTTATGTTTTCATTTATTTGTAGAGTATAGTTGGCCTTTAATGACATTTGTTTATTTCTTTAGGTGCTTGTGCTGTGGCTCTGGACAATATGACAAACCAAATCACAGCAGGTTGTAGCCAGCAGTGGTTCCTCAACCAAGATCTGACTGTGACAAACCAAAACCCAGCACCTCAGCAGCCCACCTCTCTCAACATATCCTCACAATCCAAATGGATGTGCAGAGACACCGACCTGGTTGTATCAGAAGACGGGCTTGGCAATGGCACCTGCGAAGCTGAGGCTCTGGTGTCATTACATTGTTCTGGCAGTAGTGAATGTGCTACTGCTGGGGATGAGCGCCTTGCTCTGAGCAACAACAGCATGTCAACGTATTCTGACAGTGACCTCTCTCTGCCTGAGGTCTGCATTTCTACCAACAAAGATAGCATTGAAGATGATATGAACTATGAGGTCCAGCAAGCCTATAAGATTTTCACTACTATTCTCTTGGACAAACACAAAGCAATCACCAGCCAGTTCCTTCACCCTATTGGCCGCCATGAGGCCAAGCATGGTATCGGAGGGGTTCATTCACAACTTAAGCAGTCAATGTGCTTGCAGAGGATAAAAGAGAAGTTTATCAACCAGGAATTTGAGACGATAACAGAATTTGTTGCAGACTTCAGGCTCATGTTGGAGAATTGTTACCGCTATCATGGGGTAGACCACTGGATCTCTAAACAAGCTCAAAAGCTGGAAACTATACTGGAACAGAAGCTTACATTGCTTTCCAGGTAAGAATACATAAGTTACAAACAATCTGAAACAAACTGTTCTGTTGACAAATTTCTAAATAATTTTTGCTGGTTTTCTGAGATTAAAAAAGAAGTAATGTTGCTGATATAATCTTGAACAGATTTGGAGACTGCATCTAATTGGATATGTCTTAAAACAGTGTGTGAATTTATATTTTTTCAAATATGAATATATGTGATTTTTTTTTGTGTGTGTGTGTGTGAAATAGTTTTTTAATAATAGAGTAAAAATGTAAATTATGATTAAAAAGAGAAGCAAAGTTAATTCTTGAGATCAATTTGATATTGAAATTTCAAAGCAGACAATGATATGGAAAATTAATAAAAATATATATTTTAGCTTCAGGTGACAATGCAAACTCGCACTGATGAGAACTGCTTTGATGCCGTCACTGGTAACGGTTGTTAAACAACTTCAATCGTTTTGGCTAATCACTTTATCGAAATAGGACTCTACGAGAGAAAACAACACTGGCTGTGACATCTAAAGGACGTTTCGGCACAGAGGAAGAGCGAGGCTCGGGGGGCACCTCAACGAGGAGAAGACCGCCATCTCGTAACCATCCTACCTTGATCGGTCATGAGTCTGTCATGGTGCAGAAGCTGCGCCTGGAGGAACAACAGAGGGCCAAGGAGGAGAAGAGGTTTGTGGGTATTTGAGATAAAAGTTTGTGTTATAAGTTGTTTTTAAGTTAATCACTTTTATACGCACCGCCATTTTTCAGGCAACGTGAGCTTGAGAAGAAAGAGGCAGAAGAAATATCAGCTAAAGAGGTGGAAGAGTGGGAGCAGAGCTTGCTGTCGCAGGCTTTCCCCCACACAGTGGACACCCTGTGGGAACTCCCTGCTATCGGACACTTCCTTTGCCTTGCCCAGACTGCGCTCAATCTTCCCGAAATAGTATTTTTTGAGCTGGAGCGTTGTTTGCTCATGCCACGCTGCAGCTTGCTCCTGTCCAAAATCATGTCCTCCCTGCTGTTCCCACCACAGCGCAGGGCCACTCTGCACCGCCGGTCTGCACTGCCTTACCGTCGCTGGGAGTCAGAGCTGAGGCAGCGCGTTATGGGCTGGTATCGAACTGTCGGCGCTTCCCGTGAACAGCCACGTCGTGCTGAGCAGCTGGGACTTTGTCACCAGTTTTTCAACACATTGGGGGAGATTAGTCCTTTGGAGGAGAAACCCTTTCATTTGTTGCCTTTCTACCAGCAGGTTTGGCTTCTGAAGGGACTGTGTGACAACGTATATGAGACGCAGAAGGACGTACAGGATGCTGTGCTGGCCCAACCCATTCATGAATGTAGGGAGTCTATTTTGGGCTATGACAGCAAAGAGAACGCATATATACATTTTCCACATTTCTGTGGAGCAGACCTGAGAATCTATTGCCAGAGTCCCAGCACTCCTCCAACATTTCCTTTCCCCTCTGTTCTGGTGAAAAGAGTTGAAACTGAGCAAGGAACAGAGGGTGAAGAGTCAGATGCAATAAAGAAGGAGGCAGATAATACTGAGACTGCCTGTGATGGTGCCTTGTTGGACACAGGAAAGAGTAGAGACTTTGGAAAAAGAACAGAGACGCCTGGAGTTTTCAGAAAAGAGAAGGGGAATAAAGAGGAAGATAAACAAAGGTTTCAGACATGGTCAATGGTGAAAGAAGTGCCTAAATCAGGGTCCTCTTATGGAAACGCCTGCGAAAACTTTAAGTGGGATGTAAAACTACACACAAACTCTTTATTTCTTACAGACAGACACATTGTTGGAGAGGATGATGTGAAAATGAACTTGAAACAAGAATTTTCAAATTTAGAGCAGCAATCTAAGCAGAAGCGGGTCTTCTTATTGGGTTCAGAACGTACCATTAAAGCAGAAACACAAGATCCTTGTTTGAATGTTGGAGAGCACAGCTACACAGGCCGGTCACCTGCTTCCTCGTTGAACCTGGGGTCTCCAACTAAATTTGTGGACGTCAAAATAGAGGACTTAAGTCCCAGTCAGTGTCATCAAACTTCTCCCTGTCTAGACTGTTGTAAAAGCAAAACTGGTCATGCAAATTCTACAGAAGATAACTACTGCTGCAGTGCATCTGGACTAGCAACTCAGTTGTCTTCTGAGAGTACTCAAAACTCAAGTGAAGAGTGGGTGAATGACAAGATCTGTGCTAAGAAAAAGAAGCGGAAGCAAGTAAAAGATCAGTTGGTGGGGCTAAAAAGAGAGCACATGCACCTACAGCATGTGGACAGGATGAGGCTGTCCCAAGATGATCCTGCCAAGTCTGCGATTCGAAGAGTTGCAACAACAATTAGGAGGACGGACAAAAAGAAAATACATAAAACGGGTAAGAAAATGAATAATTAGTGTAAATCTAGTTGTTTTGGGTTACATTAAGCTTTTTTTTTTTCACCATCATCAACCAGTCCTTCATGTTTCTGTGATTTTTGCTTACAGAGAAAAAACCTGAAACTTTGAGGAAAACTAAAGATGAGACTCGACCGGCAACATCATTTAAGGTAGTTGCACAGTTGCGCAACCCCTAAATAAGACAAAGTGTAGAAAAAAGCTGTGAAGCTTACATTTACTTTGTATTTTACTTTATTGCAAATAGTATGAACCTGTAGGGTTCCCAGCAATTCTGGAAATGAGGGAAAACCTAGAAAATTACTTTCACATTTTCCAGACAGGGAAAACGCAAAAGAATTTGAGAAAAACATCTAAAATCAGGGAAAACTCTGGGAATTTAAACATTTATCTGCTGATTAAAAGATTATGTTTCTGATGCTTTGATATGCACATGTTTTAATGCTAGTATTTTAGTATTGAGTCCATGTTCTGCTTCTACAGTCTACATAATACATGTGTTTTTGTTGATTGACTATGGTGACTTTTTAATATCTGATGTTGTATAATATAACTAATTATTAGGAATGATTAACATATGCACGTATCGTAGTCCACAGTATATTTACTGTCATTTCTGAACGTGTCTCTGCCAACCATATAAGGCCCTATGTTCTGAGCATTTCACGTGACTGAAATATCTCCTGGAATTTCAGGATTCACTCAAGGAAAATCAGGAAAATTTGTTTTCATGAAATGCTGGGAACCCTGACCTGAGATATTTCCTGTACAAGTTTTTGGCTTCATATATTTAATATAAGTCCATTCCTGGATTTCAGTCTGAAGATGTTCCAAAAATATTTGTGACATTAGAGCTTTAACTTTTGTGGTGTAATCTGTCAAAAAGCATCAGTTTCTTAAAAAAAAGTGATTTGAAATTTTATAGCAATACATTTTCCTCCCTTGTGTGATATTCTATCATAGCTGCTTCTAAAACCTTAAAGAAACTGATGAGACCTCTGGGCAAGGTTAACATCAGGCTGCTTTTTTGGACTGTGAAAATTTAATGGTATTTGTGAATACCAACTTTGTGAATACACAACTTCTCCACCATAACCCTCAGTACTGGCTCCCCCCAGGGCTGTGTGCTGAGCCCCCTCCTGTTCACTCTGCTCACGTATGACTGCACACCTACCCATCCAGGCTGTTATATTGTAAAGTTTGCAGACAATACAGCGGTGATTGGATGCATCACAAACAATGATGAGTCCAGCTACAGGCAGGAGGTGGAACACCTGGAGAGCTGGTGCAGGAAGAACAACCTTCACATCAATGTGAAGAAGATGGTTGTTAACTTCAGATGGAACAACCC